CAACAATTTGGCTACTTCAAGAAATTTAAAACTGTATGAAGATAAAATCATTTATAGTTCGTGTATGTAAGTGCTCGTAGACATATTTCTTTTACAAAACAAAAAATAAGTAATGAAATTTTTTTCATAGTTATGTGTCTAACTGGCTTACTAACTATTTACAATCAAAAGTTTGGTCCTACTTAGCGATATTTAAAACTACATGAAGCGTGACTCTCAGAAAAAAGAAAAATCATTTATAGTCCTTTTACATCTAATTTTCACACATAGTGTTTATTTCTATGCTTTTAGTAGGAGGCATAAACTTTAGTTGAGTCGTAAAACCGAAGTGTGTTCGTAATTACAGTCATAAAATGAAGTGCTTTTCTTTAGGCCAAGTCTTAAAGAAGATCATAATGTTAACTATAGCAAGACGTCGATACTCAATTTATAGCTAACAACTTAGTGAAAGCAGTTGCCACAATGAAAGAATTGGTGCAATTAACAGGAATAAAGCTTCGTGCGTCTCTTTTAATATTTTATAACTTGAATTAAATATATAAAATTTTAAGATTATTTATTATTTTTTTCAAAATATTTCTTCCCCATTAAAATAGAAATTTTAGAAAATGTTTATGTTCGAAAGATATATAATTGTTTGAGTTTCTTAAAACGCTCCTGAAAGGGACTTGGAAAAGAGAAGAAAAAAAACTGATTAGAAAAATATTTCAATCATAACTGGGTGTCGGTTCGAGTAAATTAAACTACTACTATTAACTCAGTGGCATCATTTGACGAGTGCGACGCTCATTTATTTCGAAAAAATAAAAAGTGGCTCCCGTCAAAATCATGGGTCGAGCTTTCGTCTCCTATCTCTCATTCCCGTGATATTTCCGGGCTAGAGTGTTCAAAAGTAATGCACCAGAAAAATATTTAATATATCCATCTCTTTTACCCGGAGTTTTTTAAAAAAAAACTTATTTCACACTCTAGGTGGCTGCATCAGACTATTTTCAATGTAACTGGAGATAATTAGTTTATTTTAAACTAGATGTCAGCACTATCCAAATATATGAATTCGGGATATGTATTTCGTGCTCTCAGAATTTGAACTCAGAACTGAATTTGTGTTCCGTGGTAAAATGCTTTTAAATTTTGTGTACATTATGGAGTCAGAGTTACATGGACATATGAAGTACATATGGTGCTCTAAATTTCAAGCTAAAAAAATCCAATAATTAAAAATGAATACATATATTGTACATACACCTTTTTTATATAATTTTGTAGAATAAAAAGATAGGAACTTTCATAACTGTTTTCTTAAAAATAATGAGATCGTTAAGAGGTTGAAAAGCTTATTCTCACATTGCTTAGTTATGAATTGCCAACGAACAACTAGGCCAATGCAAGTACTGGGCAAATAATAATACTTTTCACTTATTATTTTGTGTTCATATGATCATCAATATATGACTGATAAAATTGATGAATCGGTCAATGGCGCTTCGCGCTAATATCGCGAAATTTATGTCCTTACAAATGCTTGGGCAGTTATTTTTTAAATTAAAATTAAAGTTATGTTATTTGTTTGTTTGATGAAGTAAATCAGCCACCATCTTTTAAAATTTTATCGAAAGAAAATTATTATTTAAGGGCTTTGGTACCCGCAAATATTATGCGACTTATATACTTTGTTCCTAATATTTATTTGTCCCGTAGAGGATTGATCGTTAAGGCATGGTTCCCAGCAGATCACCATAGTCAAGCATCACTGGCTGCGGTTAGTGTGCGGGTGGGTGACCACTTGGATTAGTCTACGTAGGGACCAAGGGTGTGCGGTGTTGGTCCTCGTTAAACTGTTCTACCGTAAAGTGCTCGATTTCGCGTGCATGTCGTGAGGCTACTGCGGCGGAGGTGCCATCTCCTCTGCAGAGGATCAAAATTGTGATGGCATGTCTTCGGATTATGCTCAGGGATGTTTCCCAGACCGTCGCCAATTGCCCATTACGCAGCTCTTGTACAACGAAAATGTACTACAACAACAAGCTAATATTTATTTATACTCGTAAAAAATATCGTGGTAAGTCTTTAAATTTCTCTCTTCTCTGCCGGTCCTCTTACAAGAAAACATTTCCGGAGAAAAATTATTGCCTAATAGCTTGCAATGAGAAACGTATTTATATATGTAATTTGAAAAAGGAGGGATAGAACAGAACTTAACTAACAGTAAACAAATTAAAACCAAACATTTAATTTATTGTCCAAAATTATAAAGTAGTGCATAAAANATCCTCAGGGATATTTCCCAGACAGTCGCCAATAGCCTATTATGCAGCTCCAGTGCGACGAAAATTACCTACAACAACAACCTAATATTTATTTATATCCCTGAAAAAAATCATGGTAGTCACTGATTGTATTCTCTTTTTGAAAGCAAACTAGAATGATATGCTTTTCATGCGAGTTTTTGCTCTTTTATGTCTTGGTACACATAAACTTTTATCCCTTATTAATCAAAATAGTACGTTTTGTCAAATCATATTTTAAACTTTGTAAAAAATATCTGGGTATCAATTTTTGAGAAGATTTGTGATCCGTAACCGTAGCACACATCATCGTTTCCAAAAAAAAAAAAAAAAAAAAAAAAAAAAAAAAAAAAAAAAAAAAAAAAAACGATTCTTTCACCCGAACAACTGTGTAGACTTACTAGCGTCTAATAAAAATATTTCAAAAAAATTACAATTAAGACACTAAATAAATATTCAGAAAAATTCAATGCTTTTACTTTACGCAATTTATTTTTAAAAATAAAATTCTGTTAAAAAATCAATGTTAATGACTTTCGTCTTGTGAGTTTCTAAACGAAATAAATAATGATGAGTTTTCAAATATCCTTTTAGAAGTTTTTCGATCAGATTTTGAATCTGAAAGCAAATGAAACTGCGAAAAAGTAGTAAAACAAGAAAATTTCTAATTAGTTTAGATATTACCATAATAACCATTTCACTTTTCTATCTCACCATTAAAAAAAAAGTTGGGAAACATGAGGTTAATCAATATTTGAGACGATAGCATTGAAAAGGAGTGTCAAAAAATATCATTTCGACGTGTTGAGGTCGTTTTCGGCAGGAATAACTTAAATTACCTTGGATCATTTTTTTTATATTTGGTAGGTAAAATTAGTTTTTGTTAATTTGCAGCGTTTTATAAATTAGTTTGCTGTGAAAATACAAATTAAACACGTTTACCGTATACTGTCCCTTCTAAACTACATTTCTTTGGTTTTAGATGGAAACAATTAAAATCAACATGTTTCAAATCATACAACGAAAAACATATATAAACACTTCTAATTAAACAATCTTTCATTTGTCAGCAAATGTCTGAGAAAATTTTACATGGCAAATATGTTGGAACAATCTGAAAATTCACATTTTTATACATTTAAAATTGAGATCGACCAAAATAAAGAGTAAAAGTTAGTAGTTTTTTACAGCATTAATTTTAGCAATTTCCAACTCATGAATATCCGATTGCAAAATATATATTAAAATTATTTTTTAATTATGGTGGTAATTAAAAAGTTAATTTTTTTTTAAACTCTCTACGCCATTTTTATTGATGCAAATTTAGAATGGATAAAAATGACATAATTTCTGAATGCTTCAAGCGTGATTTTGAAGCATTTAGATCACGGTTTTGTTAAAACATTTTACGAACATACATGTATATAAATCAACTTTTTCAAATATCTAATAGCTGGTTAAACTGTCATGAAGATAGAAGGGTTGGACAAAATTATAAAATATTTTTATATTAATTCTATGTAAAAAAAAACTTAGAAGAAACAAAACTTTACAAAATTATTAGCACAATTTGAAAGATCGTGTTTGCAGCTTTTAGTAACGGTATCATTTTTATTCATACAAAATTTGCATCGACCGAAATGAGAGTAAAAAGTTAAAATCTATTTTCTTAATTTCTTAATGCTACTATAATTTAAAATGCTAAATATTTCAATCCTATAGAATTATTTCCAAATAGCTGATATTGAGCCGTGATGGCTCAGGAGATAGGGCTTTCGCCTTCCAATGACGTGAACCGGGTTCGAATCCCAGCGATGGCTGATCGATACGAATTCCGCATCCTTTTATCTCCGACCACAGTGCTGACGTAAAATATCCTAAGTGATAGATGGATCATGGGTTAGAGACCCTTGCCGTCAGACTAATCATGGAAGGTGCGCGTGGTCTTCCTCTTCATGTAACGCAAATGCGGGATAGTTCCATCAAAAAGTCCTCCACCAAGGCGAATTTCTCTCAATACCTGATCCAGGAGTTCCCTTGTTTTCTGGATTGGGTTCAAAATTACAAGGCTACGTAGTTGAACATTAGTCGACTCAGGGGACAGAACGTTCGCCTTCCGATAAGGAGCCCCGGGTTCGAATCCCAGCGTTGATTGGTTGAAACGAATTCTACAACCGGCTCACACCGACCACAGTGGTTACAAAAAATATCCTTGGTGGTAGGGAGTCTCCTTACTATAGTAGTCCCCTCGCCTTCAGACTAACCGTGGGAGGTTTTCGTGGGCTTCGTCGCCATATAACGCAAATGCGGGTTAGTTCCCTCAGAAAGTCTTCTACGAAGGCGAATTTCTCCCAAAACTTGAGAAAGGAGTTCCTTTGTCTTCTGGATTGGGTTCAAAATTACAAGGCTACATAGTTGAACATTAGTATTCGCAAATCCAAAAAAATTGAGTCTGCTGTTGAACGATGGTTATAAAACTGTTGATATTAAAGCTAGAGAAAAGTTATTAACTTCCTTTCGTCAATTTGGTTGATCCGAAATTTGATTGGAAGGATTGGAAATTTGATGTAATTGTCAAAAAGACACCATATCTAAAAGCTTCAAGCATGCACTTTCAAATAGTGCCAGCAGTTTAGCCACGTAAAATCTTCCAAAGCAGAACGTTTGTTGCTGAAAGAAAATTTATAATAAGTGAAAGAGACAGTTACTTACCTTTCTGGATATGATAGAGTGGACAACGGCTCTCCCATCTCTTACCATGAGAATAAACTTCGCATTAGGAAAAAGTTTATTCAAATAAACAGAAGATCGGAGGGTGAAAGGATCTTTGTTACAAAGTCGAATGGCTGGATCTCCATGACGAGCTATAATTTCTAGAGTGAAAGCAGCAACAGCACTGTCCAGTACCTAAACGAATATTCAAAAGTTATGTATCGAAAATTTTATATTTTATTTTATTTTTTATTTTCGTCATGATCAGCGGACCCAATTTTTCGAGTTCACGANAAAAACTCGGGCGCGCCGCTAGAGAGGCAGATAGGCAACCCGAGTTATTCCGGGCTTGCCGCTTTGCGTGTAGATATGATTCCCGAGTTATTACGGGTCCGCCGCCAGGAGGGTTAAAACATTTTACGAATATATATAAATTTACTTTTTCAAATCAGTATTTCGCAAACTCTAATAACTGGTAAAATTGTCATGAAGATCGAAGGGTTGAACAAAATTATGAAGTTATTTTTATATTAATTCTAAGTAAAAAAACGTAGAGGGAAATATTTTGGAAGGTTTTGCTTAGCGAAACTATTAGCACAATTTGAAAGATCATGCGTGGAGCTTTTAGTAATGGTATCATTTTCACTCATACAAAATTTGCATCGACCGAACTGAGGGAAAAAAGCTATTTTCTTAATTTTTCAATGTTACTATAATTCAAACTGCTAAATATTTCAATCCTATAGAATTATTTCCAAATAGTTGAGCCGCTATGGCTCAGGGGATGGAGCGTTCGCCTTCCAATGAGGCGAACCGGGTTCGAATCCCAGTGATGGCTGATCGATACGAATTCCGCATCCGGTTTGTACCGATCACAGTTCTGACGTGAAATATCCTAAGTGGCAGACGGATCATGAGTTAGAGTCCCCTAGCGTTCAGTAAAACCGTATGAGGTTCGCGTGGCGTAAGCCATGTAAAGCAAATGCGGGATAGTTCTATCAAAAATTCCTCCATGAAGGTAAATTTCTATCAATACTTGATCCAGAAGTTCGCTTGTCTTCTAGATTGGGTTCGAAATTACAAGGTTACGTAGTTGAAGATTAGTAGTCGTAAACCCAAAAAATTGGGTCGGCTGTTCAACGACGGTTATAAAGCTGTTGATATTAAAGCTAGAAAAAAGTTATTAACCTCTTCTCCTCAATTTGGTTGATCAGAAATTCGAATGAGTAAGAAAGACACCATATCTAAAAGCTTCAAGCATGCACTTTCAAATAGTGCCAGCAGTTTAGCCATGTAAAATCTTCCAGAACAGAACATTTCCTTCTAAAAGAAAATATAATAAGTGACAGAGACAGTTACTTACCTTTCTGGATATGATAGAGTGGACAACGGCTCTCCCATCTCTTACCATGAGAATAAACTTCGCATTAGGAAAAAGTTTATTCAAATAAACAGAAGATCGGAGGGTGAAGGGATCTTTGTTACAAAGTCGAATGGCTGGATCTCCATGACGAGCTATAATTTCTAATGTGAAAGCAGCAACAGCACTGTCCAGTACCTAAGCAAATATTCAAAATTATAAATTGAAAAATTTATATTTTATTTTAATTTTTATTTCCGTCATGATCAGTGGACCCAATTTTTCGAGTTCACGGACAACCAATGTTCAACTTTGTAGCCTTGTAACTTTGAACCCAATCCTAAAGACAAGGGAACTCCGGGATCAAGAGTTGGGAGTTTCCTTGTCTTCTGTATGGGGATCAATATAAATATTGATTTTGTAGGAATACTTTTTATTTGCTAAAAAAAATAAAAGATTTATAGATAGTTTTTGAAATATTCAAATAATAGGAATATTTCACAAATATTAAAATATTCCTAAATACAGTAACGATAGAGTACTTTAAAATTAAACAATTACTTCTTTCTTGTAAAATAAAATAAGGAATGATATCATGAGAATTTTAAAACAAATAATTTTTTGTAAAAAGGAAACGCAGTATGTGTAAATATACATGAAGAAGCCTGTAAAAACCAACACAAAAATTTTTCATGGAATATTATCAAGATTAATTCCATATCAATTCTTTTGACAAGCAGAAAATTCACTTCAGAAAATAAAGTTATATTCAATTTCAAAAAGTGCATTAAAGTTTGAAATTTCAACTCTCTAATTCTTCATTCAAAAATCCATTTGACAGTCTATCTTAATTACGTCATCAGAAAAAATTGATTACCTTCCAACACTATTCTGCCAGGAAAAGTAAACTTATTTTTAATTCTTTTTGCGATTTTAAATTTTTTTTTATTAAAATGAAGGTCAGATTTCAAGCTGAAATATTTTTACAGCTTCCTGTTATCTCATTACATATTTACGTTAATTTTTTGGCAACTTTGACAGAAAGAATATAAATGAAATATTTTGGCAGCACAGAGTATTCACAAATGCAAAGAAAGACTTTTCATGTCAAAAGAAATTTCGATTTCAAATATATATATATAAAGTNTCGTGATTTTTTCTCAAAATAATTAAAAATTGCTAAATTCTTGCGTTAAAAATTGTTAAATCCCAAAGATCCAAGAACAGCAAATAAATGTATATATTGGCACAGAAATATCCGCCATGCTACGATCTCAAAGTTTCGAGCTGGAATGAATAACTTCAACGAGCACAGTATCTCTGGTATTGCTACTGATTTTTTCACTAGTCGAAATACTGGCGACAATGGGTTCGGCGATTGAATGAACTTTTTGTTAAGACAAAACAAATCAGATTTAGCGATAAGCTCCGAAAGACAAGGGGCAGAGATAATTCTTAGTCTGACTAACTAACTCCACTGTACTCCGTTCCCCCTTCTATATAATTTTTCACCGCGTCTCCAAAATTCTCGAATTGTCTCCAAGACGACAGAACGTCTATGATTCCAGAATCATCGCGTAAAGACCTCGCGAATGACAGCCAGTCTCGAAAACTATACTGGCAGGACAGAAAGGAACCAGTCCATAACAGTATCTCGTGAATTTGGTTTCAAAAGTGCAACCCTATTATAGTAAATGTTTTTTCAGTATTCTGAGAAATACCGTGAGAAAAAAAAGTAGGCATAAGGTTAATAAAAATATATAGTCTTAAAAAATAATAGCTCGCATAATTTCTACTAAAATTTTTATTTTTGCCATTTTGTCTGAGCTCAAGGGAGGAGTTTAAACCCCTAAACCCTTCCCTTGCGTACGCCACTGTATATATATATTTAAAAACTATGCAAAATTTTTGAAAAATTTCAAAAATGATCAAAAAGTTGAGAAACGAAATGAGGAAAAGATAATCACGTCAATCAGCTCACACGAGTGTATCCGCAAAAAAGTGCTTTCTAATATTGTATCAATGATGTAGCCAAAGCAAAATATATCAGTACAATAAAATATGTCAATACAATAATGTGACAATCGAAACAACCTCTGGGTAAGAAGACCAACAAAGACCAATAGATAACGCTCTTGCCGTAATCAAACTGTTAGAACTACTTTGATGTAAAAGTATAGAGTTAGTTGGAAATGCATAAGCTAGCCTGTGTGTATAAAAAATAGGTCAAAAAGTTTTCAAAAAGTTTTTTGAGTGTGTTTCAAAACGTTTTTTGATTGACATCTACTCTAGCGTAAATAAAGTTAAAAAGTTGGAAAAAAATCAAGAAAGAAAAAGCACTTCAACTTGCAATAACTCTCGAACAAGATATAACTTGATAAAGTTATAATTCGAAATGGCACCGTCAACACGTCAAATTCCAACTCAGTAAATAATGCAAAGTAAAATTCAACCCACTAATTATTGATTAGATAAAGATTTATTTTGCTCAGAATGCTTTCGAATGCCCAAAATAATAAAAGATTTATATATAACTTTTAAATAATCAGAATATTTGAGAATTATTTAAGTATTCCTAAATACTAGAAAGGTTGTGGAGCTTGTAAATTATTGAATTACTTTTGTTCAAAAATAAATTAAAGAAGATTTTTTCTGAAAGATAAATAACGTGAGAATTTTAAAGCGAAGAAGCTTTTGTAAATAAGAAACACAGAGCTAGTAAATATGCACGAAGAAACTTTCAAAAATAACATAAAAATGTTTGATTTTTTTTATTAATGTAAATATTACCTATAATATTATTAATTACCTATTACATATAATAATTTTTCAACAAGCAAACAGTTTCCTTCAGAATATAAAATTATATTCAATTTAAAAAAAAATGCATTAAAGTTTGAAATTTCATTCTTCTAATTTTTTATTCAACATTCAAATTTACATTTCGTCTTAATTTCGCCAAAAGAGAAAGTTGTTTGTTTTTCCAAGACTTTTCTGTCAGGAAAAGTGAAGTTCGTTTTTATTCTCTCAGAATTTAAAACTTTTTTTATTCAAATGAAGTTCATATTTGAAGCTGAAATACTACTCTAGGTTTCCGCTATCCTATTACATATTTTCACGAAGTTTTTGTCAACTTTGACAACAAGAATATAAATGAAGTATTTGGACAGCACAAAGTTTTCACAAATGCAGAGAAAATCTCACTTATTTCTGTGACGGCGTTTCATATCAAAAGATATTTTCATTTCAATTGCAAACAAAAATGTAACAAATAAAAAAAAACACATAAAATAATTTTATTTCATTCCAAATTCTGACTATAAAAGTCATAGCAAAAAAGTGTGGTAACTTTGAAAAATGAGTTATGAAAATCGCCTCAACTATATTATATCCATATTTGTAACCTACGTAATCAAATTTTAAAAACAAATTCATAATAAAATATTCGAAATCATGCTCCAATTCCAAAAGCCGTATAATTAAGTTTCAAAGACAAATTAATAAGAATAACAATCGAAACAACATAAATTAATATCACAAACCAAACACTAAATGCCCATCACCCCTGCTCAAAATAAGCTTATTACTGAATTAATGCAAAAATCACAACTTTATCCATTGACGTATTTAAGATGAAATGTAAATTTAAAAGTTGAATAAAAACTTTAAAGTTTAAATTTCAAATATTAATACTTTTTTGAAATTGTATGCAACTTTATTTTTTGAAGTAAACTTTTTGTTAGTCAAAAAATATTGATACGGTTTAAGTATTAATAATATTATTAAGCATGAAAACAGATTTAAAAGTCGTATGTTTAAATTTTGTAAATTAATTTTTTCAATATTTTCATCTAAATTAAAAAGTATTTTTATACTTTAGATGCTTCAGAACGGTGCATATTCTCAAACAATTATTCTTATATTTTCCAAGTTTCTGAACAATAAAATTTCAAAATGACATACATTTGCATTTTCATTTTTAGATAACTATTAGATCAATTCCGTTTAAAGTTTGGGCTCCTTCTTCAAAGTAACATAGTCAAAAATAAGCAAAAAATGTACGCATGTTGTAATTCAAATTTGCTCAACCACTATCAAATGAGATTATTATACGATATTTAAAGTGCAAACAATGACTCTAAACTCATTAAAGCATTTTCTAAAAACTGCTCATTATTCAAAGTTTAAAGAGCATTACAGTAATATGAATTTTATTAAAATATCGAAGCGAATACCAGAATTCAATTAAACAACTGTTTTTTTATTGTGGTTTTTGCGTTAATTTAGTAATAAGTTAATTTTGAGCGGGGGGGGTTATATGCGATTAGTGTTTTTTTAGTGACCTTATTTATTTTTTTTAAATTTGTTAATTTATACATTTTTAACCCATTGTTCGTTGTCGTTTCTACTTTTAGTTCTTCCATTTTAGTTCAAGATATTGCAAATGGATAATCTGAAATAAAAATGAGCTAAAAATTAAATGTATCTTTTACCGTTGCTTTGCTTATTTCGAAAGTCAACAGCTTTTGTACCAGTATCACCTAACAATGTTTAACAACATATTAATTATAAATGTGAATAATACTAAAATTTATTATGAATTATAAATGTTTGCCTGGCTGATCCGTTAAGCGCTCTCTGTAGTGTCGAGGTAGCGGTTTGAAACCTGCCCAGACCCTGAATGTATCTTTGAGGTGTTCTTCTCTAATTTGTGCTATCTGTTCCTCAACTTGATTAGGCTTAATGCCGTTTCTGTAATGAGTACATAATCCTACATGTTAATTCCCCAGATGGCAGTGTAAGGTTGATTTTAACGTCAACAACAACTTTTATCACAAAAACTCAGCAAGGTTTGTAAATGACATACATAAACATGCAAACTTGAAACAATGTTAAATTTAACCATGCACGCTTTGAGGTTCACATTCAGCATGAGTAAACAACCTTTTTATATCGAGTTCATTATAAAATAAGGCTGAAAAAATCTGAAATCGACTCTAACCGAAGGATAAATTCATCTTCTCTATGTTTATATTAGATTTTATGACCATCACTTAATATTTGCGTAGGCTTTTATGTAAAGTAGAGTCGAATATCTGTGTGACACGAAAGTGCTATCCGAAAAATTCGGATAATTGGGCAACATTAAAAAACGACTATAAGAATGTTTCTAAGTAACTTCCTTTCACACTTTCCCAGGCTTAAGATTGGTAATTCTAGTTGTGCCTGCTATAGCATACTAGAAATGGCGTGTTTAAAAGTTTTAATTTTCTTTAAAAATTTTACAAAAACCTGTTTCCTTATTAGAAACCCCCACATTCAAATTGGGCGGAAGAACGTTAGAATCTTTTCAAGGTCAACGAGGGACAGAAGAAGACATTTTCCACCCTTTTCAGATATTCTGAAAATAAAATAAAGAAAGCATTTTCGAGATTTTTTATTTATTTACCTATTATTATTTTTTGAAGAAAGTGGAAAAAACACATGTCATTAAACAATCTGGATAATTGTACAATCCAGTAAATCAGCTTTAGAATAATCAGCGCTCAAATCTACTTTCTTTAACACTTTAAAAGGGAAGATTGGCCGTAAGACTGCTAGCTATCTGAGAAGTAACAATAAAAATGAAAATGCAACGTTTGTAGTAAGATTGCCTGCTATATGAGGTGTCACAGTAAAAATGGAAACAGAGCGTTTGAAGCAAGATTGCTTGCTATCTGAGAAGTAACAATGAAAATGAAAATGCGACGTTTGTAGTAAGATTGCCTGCTATATGAGGTGTAACAGTAAAAATGGAAATAGAGCGTTTGAAGCAAGATTGCTTGCTATCTGGGAAGTAACAATGAAAATGAAAATGCGACGTTTGTAGTAAGATTGCCTGCTATATGAGGTGTAACAGTNATATCTGTGTGACACGAAAGTGCTATCCGAAAAATTCGGATAATTGGGCAACATTAAAAAACGACTATAAGAATGTTTTTAAGTAACTTCCTTTCACACTTTCCCAGGCTTAAGATTGGTAATTCTAGTTGTGCCTGCTATAGCATACTAGAAATAGCGTGTTTAAAAGTTTTAATTTTCTTTAAAAATTTTACAAAAACCTGTCCCCTTATTGGAAACCCCCACATTCAAATTGGGCAGAAGAACGTTAGAATCTTTTCAAGGTCAACCAGGGACAGAAGAAGACATTTTCCGCCCTTTTCTGATATTCTGAAAATAAAATAAAGAAAGCATTTTCGAGATTTTTTATTTATTTACCTATTATTATTTTTTGAAGAAGGAGTAAAAAACTCATGTCATTAAATGATCCGGATAATTGTACAATCCGGTAAACCAGGTTTAAAATAATCAGCGCTCAACTGTACTTTCTTTAACACTTTAAAAGGGAAGGTTGGCCATAAGTTTGCGTGCGCTATCTGGGAAGTAACAATGAAAATGAAAATGCAACGTTTGAAATAAGGTTGCCTGCTATCTGAGGCGTAACAGTAAAAATGAAAATACAACGTTTACCGTAATGTTACCTGCTATCTGGGAGGTAACAATGAAAACAACATTACTAAGTTTGCCTGATATCTGGGGTGTAACAATAAAAATAAAAATTAAAATGTTTGCCTGTGATGTCACTCCAGCTTCTCTAAGACGTCCAGCTTCCAATGGTGATTTCATCCACTGACTTTTTAGTCCTATAACTCTTGGTATCACTCTGGTTTCTTCTCCACACCGAACATCCGGATGGGAGTCCAGTAAGGCGCGTAGAAGTGTGGTCCCTGATCTTGGCATACCTCCAATAAAAACAATAGGCATTTCACGGTTATAAACGTATTTTTCTCCATTTTGACCTGTTGTGTACTTCTGAAATAAGAAGAATAATATGATACAATAAATTCAGGAAGTGACAAAAAATGTAAAAGGTGATAGAAATCCAATTCAATTTATTTATGATCCCCATAATTATTCTACCACTATTACTACCACTATGACTTAAATTCTACATTAACAACATTCTTTGCATTCACTTTAAATAGTAAACTGATAAAAATATGATGGAAAAGTTGTTCATTTTAATATCTTTTAGTTAAGTTTCGAATTTTATTCGTCACTGCAGTTTGCATTTTAGTCACCCGTGGTAACCATTTTGTTCCAGTTATGCCACTATATTAACAGAAATTTTAAAGTGGTAGTTTATCAATTGTGATTCATGGTTTAATAAATTCAATTTAGTAGATTTTGATCTACCACTATTTCTAAATAATTCTTAGGCTTATATAATTCACCAATTTTTTGCATTATTGCTGTGCTATATCTTTTAAAAAGCATGCAAAAATAGTCAAATATATGCAAAATTTACTTTGTGGTTATTTACCGTTTTTCTTATTATTTTGGCGTGTCTGGAGCAGTTGGCATCTCTGTATTAAGCAACCCCACTGCTAACCACAAAGACTCAATACAAACGGAATCCAAGCTCATGACGAATTGGATAGGTGCCCAGCTAACGCCTCCTACAACTAAAAGCCTCCACACGGTTTTTTATAGGTAGTCCGATCAGACCATTGTGAAGATAAAACAATTTACGAAAGACCCATGTTATACAAAATCTATTAAAAATTGATAAGTGGTAGCAAATATCTGACTAAAAATTTTTTAAATTTATGAATATAAATGGTTTGTCTTATTTACTTGTCAACCAATATAAATTCAATCCTCAAATGTATATGATAAATTTCTTTCAATTACTTTTAATTAAGAATTTGGGTTCATGCGCACAACTGGTTCTCTTTTTAAGCAGTCTGCGCAGACTACTTATCAAAAACTGTGTGGTGGCTATCTCATATAGGAGGTGATGGCCCAGCTAAATCACACTAGGGCAGCTAACCTTTTTGTGACGGGCGAGTCATACATGCATTCTCAGAATGGCGATAATCAGGGTAAAAACGATAAAACTGATAACCAAAATATTTTTTATTTGTGTTTACAGTTTATTTGTGGGCGGGGTAATAATAGTTTGCTTTATTTAATTCACTACTATTTAGTTTGAATTAAAAATTGTATTGTTGCACTTTTAACGCAGATATTAGATGTCTTAGATTTAAAGTGAAAGCAAAAATAAATTTGTCAAATTAATTATGCCCAAACTAAAGCTACAGCTTCTTATTTTTTTCCATTCTAATACTGATTCCTTACGAATACATTTATGACTCGCCCGTCCCAAAAGTGTTAAGACGTGGAACCTCCCTGACCGAGCAGAAATATCCGCCAATGCTGTGCAAAGCGTGGTGTTAGCGGATTCAAATCCCGCTGTTACCCTGGATGTATCTTCGTACTGTCCTTCTTTGTATTGTGCTATCTGTACTTTTATTTAACTAAGGTTTATAAGCTTAAATTGAGCACACAAGCCTGCAAATGTATGTAATTCCAATAAACCAATTAAATTAAGTTGTGATGAGCGTTTTAAAAGTTGGCAAAATTGGCCAAAAAACCTCGCATGTTAATTCCTTATCCTATACTTTTCTTAAAGATATTTTATCGAATCCGGAGCAGTTAGCATTTCTATGAGACTGCCGGATGTTTTAAAGTTTTAATTTCACACTAATTTTAGATACTTAGTCAAGCAGGTATATTTCCTTCATTTTTGCCAGTTGGAAATTAGAAAAAGCAATTAGTTTCTTAAATATTTATCCACCTCTTTTGAGATTTTTCCTTGTCGCAGCTACCCTGAGTTATTAAAATTCCTTTCAGAGTAAGCTAATTTCTGTAATTTTTAATTTTATGTACTTAAGAAAGAATATAAAATAATATTTGTTTAAACTGAAAATATAGTTGCCTCGATACTTTGATTTGTATTTTTCTTTTTTCAAAAAAAAAAAAAAAAAAGTATTGTCAAATTTATTAGTTTTAACAAAAATACAGCTGCTTTGCTCTCTTGCTCAGGTCAAAATTACGATCTGTGGATGTATGAATGGGTACACCCAATAAAACGGGCTATGATGTGAGTGCGTGTGTGGCTAAAGTTGTATTCTTGCCCGTAGGTGGCACCACTGAAAAACAAGAAACCCCTCTCTGCTTTAAACTCGCTTGGTTCACCAAGCAGGCTAGCTGGTATCATCAAGTGGCATTAGAAGCAACAACACGAAAATACAGCCATGCTTTTTGCAAAAGCATGGTAGTTAGCAGGGCTGACTATCTATTTTAAATTACCAGCTTAGGGACGTGGTTTTTGAGGTGTACGGATTATTTTTTCTACAATTCAAGCAAATAAAGATCTAAACTAAAATTATTTCTGAGTTATATATGTGGGTGATTTTGTGAGTTTTAAATGACGTTGAAATTGAGGTTTATTAATGAGGTTATTTTTGGTTAAAAACATTACCTCTGGTGAAAAACATAACCTTTTCTCCCTAAGGTTTATTTTTTTAAATCTGTCAGCCTCAAAACAACCTTGCAAACAACTTATTTCTGTAAGGATCCATTATTTCTTACTAACACTGCGAAAATTGTCAACACTGCACTCTTCTACAAAAGTTAGCATCAGAGCAATCCTCTTGGTTTTTGCTTAGCCCATCTTGTAAACAGCACCGTACTTCTTAAGTCANCGGATTATTTTTTCTACACTTCAAGCAAATAAGTTTATTTGAGGTGTGAAAGGTATCACCTGATCTAAACTAAAATTATTTCTGCGTTACATATGTGGGTGATTTTGTGAGTTTTAAATGACGTTGAAATTGAGGTTTATTAATCAGGTTATTTTTGGTTGAAAACATTACCTCTGGTGAAAAACATAACCTTTTCTCCCTAAGGTTTATTTTTTTAAATCTGTCAGCCTCAAAACAACCTTGCAAACAACTTATTTCTGTAAGGATCCATTATTTCTTACTAACACTGCGAAAATTGTCAACACTGCACTCTTCTACAAAAGTTAGCATCAGAGCAATCCTCTTGGTTTTTGCTTAGCCCATCTTGTAAACAGCACCGTACTTCTTAAGTAAGTTTATTTAGTTTTTAATTTTATCCGTTTAATAGGTTAGTTCATTTAATTCAAGCTGTTGTAGAAAAATTGTTTTATTACTCGTATTAACATTTATTTAGAAGAAAATAAAATTCATAAATTCTTCATACATCTAGATATCTATTATTAAGTATGAAATCATATGGAGCTATAACATTTTGAAAATAAAATGGCAGCTGTAACAGTAAATTACTGAAAAAATAGAGATGGTTATCAAAATGAGACTGTAACACTTCTATACTAGTTCTATGTATACAATCTTTCTTTGTACTTCAAATGTTATGGTTAATTTGCATGACAAAACTGTTGTTACAATTTCAAAGATACCTTAACAGAGTGTGTATCCAGATATTTCAACAAAAAATACGCACCTCTTAAGCACTCAAAAATATTTTTAATCACTCTTATGTGAAAAAAAAATCCAAATCGGGATACGTGCAGTAATAAAATTTATTTCTTCCTATTGTTTAAAGTTTATTTAAGTACATAAAATCAACAAAATTCAAAAACATTTCCCAAAGACATTATATTATTATAATAAAATAACTAGTTTCTGATAAATATTACGGAGAAAATTGTGAAGCTCATGTTTTTTTTGTTATTTATGACGATAATTGGGGCAGCAAATAAAAAGTCTCATTTTGAAAGATAGAAAATTAAGCATTTTTTACAAAAACCCAATGAAAAAAGCACCTTTAAGGGCTTTTTAAAAACGTATATCAAAAATAAATACCTTTAAGCACTTCTTAAAAACGAAACGAGAAATTACGTCCTTTTTTCCCAAGCTAATTTCGGATCGACCATAAGGAAAAGAAGTTGATAACATTTTTTAAGTTTTAATGCCGGAAATATAGAAATCACGCCTGATCGCTCACGCATGATTGCAATATTTATATATGAATGCTTTTTAAATTGTGCTAGTATGAAAAAAAGAAAGAAAAAAAGCATTTAACTTTCAACTCTCATTTTGGTCAATGCGAATTTCGTATGAGAAAAAAGAACCCCTTCCCTGAAATCTTCAAGCATAACCTTTCAAATTGTGTCAACAGTTTTACCGTGCAAAACATTTGCTGATGAAAGAAAAATTGTTCATATAGTGTTGGTTTAGAAGTGTCTCCATATTTTCTCCAACCCCCGTGTCATCATTTGTTATAGATCATACATCTATAAACAAGCAAAATATGTTAGTTTATAACTTTTTAAAAAAAAATATTTTGGCTCAATTTTTATTTGCAAGTTAATAGAAATCCTCTATCAAAATGAAGTGAATTATTTACACCCGCAGATAAAAAATTTTAAAATTTATTTTTTCTCGAGCTGAAATTTAAACATTTAAGGTTTTTATCTTAATTAATTAAATAAATCTAATTTAATTAACTAATTATTAGGAAAACAAATACTGAAATTAGGCATTTAGAATGAAACAGCGATTTCAGTTGTCGACTAAAATGATTAAGGAGGAAGCAGAATTTATAATATTATATACGTTTCTAAGGTGACTAGTCTGGAAAAAAAAGGGATAGACAAATTTCAAGGACACAAATTATTTTTTTCAAATTTATATCTACCAGAAAACATTTATAAATTAAAGGAAATACATGCTTTTTAATGCTTCAATGTTAAGAAATTAAAATCTTTAAAATTTTCAACAGCCTAAAGAAACATTTGTCTTCCTTATTTTTCGTAAATTTCTCCAGACTATGACCATCTCGGTTTTTTATTTTTATACGTTGATAATTAGACGTCTTTGATAATTTAAATATTTGGGTTTCTCAATGCATGTAAAAAACTCTTACCACCTATTTGGTGAAAATTAATTTTAAGGGGTTACTAAATCGTGAAAATTTTA